ATGCTACAATATTGATATCACACAAATGGCCAGTCATTGGTGAACCAATAATGGCAATCTTTATGTTATAATAGGTTACCATAGCAACAGTACAACCTGAAAAAGCACTCCTGCTGACTCGGTGAGCTCGGTGACGCCCTTTTTTCAACTTTTGCAAAGTTAAAAAATTCTGTCTAGAGGGTTTTATAGATCTTTTACTTTTTTCGAAAAATTAAGGTGACTCTGAGTCCCCTAGAGAGAAATTAGACAAGGTGTTTAAAAATTGTTTGTAGGTATTAGAAGCTGATCATTTTAGACAGAATAATTCGGAACATAGGCGTGTACCAAAATAATAATAAAAAAAAGGTTTAATTAATTTGACGTTGTAACGTACCGGACAATCTTCCTGGTATAAGAGATTTTGAATTTTTGGTCAGTCAAATTCCTGTCTCCCGGGCAAAAGTCGGTGGTCAAATGCCCCTACCCGAAACACTAGTAGAACAGAAGTTACGTGGTTTGGAAAATATAATTTTAACGAACGTCGAAATAGGAAATTAAAGCAAAGCGGTAATTTACTCTCAAACGCAAGGCGAATTTTTTTCCAGGCTCTTTTCCTCCGGCCTGGAACTCACGAACGAACTCAACGTCGTCAACTATCACGCGATAGAAATCTCGAGCTCATAATCTAATTGTTTAACACTTTCTTTTTTATGTTGTCAATCATAAAACATAAGCGCGAAATCTTCACGAAAATCGAAAGACTGAGAAGGGTCATGCATTTTATTATCTCAGAGATTTTGGTGTCAATTATTTTCTTTCTGACCTTAGAATTTACAGCAAGTAATCAATTGTTTTGTTTTATCACATGCGAACGTTTGGATATCCATTTCTGTCCCTTATGTGTCTCGGTTTATGATTCGCCAGCTAAAAAACGTGCAAACAAAAATCTGCGCGAAATCTTGGGCGTACTCCTCAGTGATTGGCTTGAGTTTCTAATCCATATTCATGCAATCTTTTACATGTGCTTCAAACCAAACAGGTCGGGGATGTGTGAGGGGCGGTTTGTACTCTTGAAGAAAGAAGATGCTTGTAGGAAGAGGCACTTGACGCAAGACTGATCAAGTCTTCCTGCTGTCAAAAGCAAAGGTGAGCATTTCGTTTGGGAGTTATTGCCTAAAGTTTGTTCCAAAAGCTACGAGAGTACCGGCGAAGCGAAGTTATCGAACACGAGCGCTTTCCGCTCGGTTGGAGCGTATCTTTAACTTGAAATTCTACTGTCTTGTCTGTAACGCAGCAACCGTAGTGGATTGCTTGAGATTTGTTTTGGAACTTTTGCTTTACCGTGTTAAATTAAAAAAAAAAATTAAACTTTGACTCGCGACATGCTTTTGAATAAGCATTCCAATGAGTGGAAGACTCGAGATTAAAAGCTGTATAAGCCTGGAACTTTACGATTAGCCATGATTAAGTGATCGATATATTGTTAAAAAAAACGTTAGGTTTCGCTGATCAAGGAATTACTTATTTCTATTTTCAGAAGGACTTGTGAGGAGAAGAGAAAAAGAGAAGAGGACAAACATTGAATTAGGAGGGAAACTACAAAGATAAGACCTGAAATTATAAAATAGTTCATTAAGTAAAAATGGTGGCTGATAAAATATCTTAAAATCTGAACAAAATTCTCTCTTGGGATTTTATCAGATCGCATTTATTGATTGTCTTGAACGAACCGTGAAATTTATAAATATTATAAAGTCGATCTGAAATTGGCAGAAGTACTTTAAAGAAGATAAAATTCAGCCATCATTTCTAGGAAAATGGTACTGATTGTTTTGCAGACCTCACGACGGACGCAAATTTTCGGGAATCAGTCGTGTGTTAAAATTCCAATTATTTCACGTAGTATATTTAGGAGAAAAATCGTTAGATCGCTTTGATTTAAATTGGTGGGTTATTCAAACATTGGCTTGCTACAAAAGTAAAGACGAGCTTTCTAATTTATGTCGCGAATATTGGGCAAGTCCGCACACGAAATATTTTGAAAGTCGCAACAATCAGTACCATAAGTTACAACTTCAGTTGATGTCGTGGTGTTGTTATATCTTGAAGGTGGCACTGTAAGACAAACGAGCTAGGATGCCGAATAAGCTAAGTAAGGCAACAAAATGTGTTGACATTTTCGTTTTCTCTGTCAAACAACGCATCGCATCTATCTATGATTGTTTAAGAAGCCCAATTTTTTATTTACTTGAGCGAAAAACAATTTGAGCAACAAATCTGAGGGAATTTCGCTTTTTCTGTCAAGCAATGAATCTATCAATGATTGTCTTGGAAACCCAAATTGTTTTTCTTAATTTAATTAAAAGAAAAAACAACTTAAGCAACAAACTGTTTTGATATTTTCGTCTTCTCCGTCAAACAGTACATCTGTCTTTGATTGTGTTAAAACCTGAATTGCTCTTTTGAAATCTAATTAAAAGAAAAAGCAATTTAAGAAACAAAATATTTTGAAATTTTCGTTTTCTCTGTCAAGCAATGCACCAAAATCTGATTTTGTTAAAAGCCAAAATTGTTTTTTGTTTTTTTCTTTTTTAATTTAATTAAGAGAAGGAAACAATTGCTTTTTCACGTAAAACGCAAAAGAATTTATTTATTTGGTGTGCACTGGACAATTTCCAGAAGAAAACTACAAAATTTTGTTTAGCAAACAGCAAATCACATACGAGTGCCGCCACCTTAAAAAAGATTAACAACTTTGTTTCATCAACTGAAGTTCAGATGGCAAGGGAACACCAGCAATTCAATACAAAATTCAAAACATCATGTATGTGTTTTAGATAGTTCATACAGCAATCGTTAGATAACCAGATATTTTGTTCTTTTTGGTGGATCGAAAGCGTTACGAAACTTTATCTAGCTGTGTTCTCTTGCCGTTTAGTAAGCTAGCTTGCAGATAAAACCCTGTTGCCTGGTTACGATGATACCAATCGACAAGCCGCCGCGTGATATGAACAGGACTTTCAGTTATACAGACCACATAATCAAGAACTTTTTCAATTTGATTTCATAAACCCACGAGACAAAATTCAATAACCTGCGAGACTCTAACTGTATGGCAAAATCGATCAAATAAACAGAATCAATTGTCTGGTTTTATCAGAAAAAAGATGTTGTTTTCCGCTAAATTTACATAGTCATGAAAGAACATTAATTTTTGTCAAAATCGATCCAAAGTTACGAAATTTGTGCTCAATTGAATTAAATTGTCTGCGACTGTTTCATGGGTTTTGTAAAATCACTGACTTTTATTCGTGCTAACATTAACGAAAACAAAATTTCACCGTTTCTTTTGGGAAAAAAATATCGCTGATTAGAAATTAAACAAGGAAATAAACAAACAAACAAACCACGCAATTATTGTTGAATAACACTGATTGTCTGGTTTTGCAAAAAAGTTTCCACTACAATTTCTGATTTTTTTAGAGCCAATTAATTCTACATGGATGGAGTTTTCCGTGTCAAAATCTTGTTAACTGTCAAACAAAGCCGGCAAAAAACTATTGGAAAGAAAGCGAGGAAATCGTGGTTTTCTTGACAAACATTATTCGGCGCTGTATTTTGTAGGCTCGAACAATTCCTGATGATGGGTGGAAGAATGAATTGTGAATCGAAAGTCCTATTTCACCAAACAATTAAATTTGAAACATTGATTACAATCGAGTGACTCTGAAAAATGTTACATGTTTTCGAATTTCTACGTATATGGTACACAAATTGCTATACCAATTAAGAGCAAAGTTTTCACGAGAAATTTAAATACCAAAAGATTCTCGATCAAAAAAGTATTTTCATTGTCTTAATTGTGGTCTGTATAACCTTCATTGCTACTTGTATGCATTGACAAGCGCTAGGTCGTGTTCAAGGGTGGGTTAGGCTAAAATAAAGACCTTGAACCAGGCATTGGGTTTTATAATTTAGTAGAAAAGACCTTTCCCTGTTTCCACTCAATGTAACACAGAGTGTTTTGGAAAACAATAAATAACTTCGAGTTGATTTGAAAGTTCGATTGAAATCAAAATATTTCAAGTCTGTTAAAACATTTTCTCAATATTTTACAAACGTGGAGCAAAGCAAATGGAATTGTCATACTTCTGATCCCTTGTGGCGACAAAAAATACGAATTTGCTCATATCCTCGCTATAGATTACCAAGAAATATGAAATTATATTTGGAAAACAAATGAATAACTTCGAGTTGCTATCAGAGTTAGATTGAAATAACACTGTTTCAGCTCTGTTAAAATATTGTCGCAAATTTGTAAAACATGGCGCGAAGGAATTGAATTATGCTTCTTTTTCGCCCTTGTGGCGCCAAAATATTTGAATTCGCTTATGTCGTCGCCGCTTAAGCTTGCGGAAAATTGGATATAGAATTTTAATTGTAAATACGATTAAATTGTTCCAGTGTTCAGAAATCACGTAAGCCAGGTTTTTTGAAATTTAGTTTTTCATTACGTTTTCGAGTTAAATTTTACCTGTGTTACAAACGAGAAGTGGCAACTCAAAAGGTCTTAACTTTACAGTGCATGTTAACACCATCTTGTGCAAAAAGTTTTAAAACTTGGTTTCGGATATATTTGGTTGAAATTTTTCGGGATAGAAGGAGTGAAAAATACGCTTTACGGCTGAAAAATTTCGCGAAACGGTTGTTTAAAGATTTGTTTGCCATAATATTTTTGCACGAGGTGGTGTTTACATTTTTTTTGGCGGGAAAATTTCAAGGGAAGCCATTATTAATTTTTTGTCAAAAATGTTGTCAGGGGAAACGCTGTGCAAATGTTTAAAAATTTTCCCGCCAAAAGTCTTAGTATATATATAGGGAACATTTTTTCTTGACACCTTTTTATTGATTTAATCGAATTCTAATTTAAGAATATTAAGATAAGCAAAAGTAATTAACGGACAAAACACTTGTTATTTATTGAATTTACTTTAAGAGATAATAAAAATTACAATGAAAGCTAATACAACTTGTTGCGTTTATTGACTTAGTTTTAATTACAGTAAAGAGAGTAGATAACAAACAAGTGAATACAATTTTATTGACAAAAAAATAAAAATATATAATTAAAAAGTATATTAGACTGACGAAACCAACAACTTAGGAAAATTTTAAAAAAATTGGCGCATGCGTATCTTAGGCGCCCGTATTTTTTCTAACTTTTTTGGCGGGAAAAATAACAATTTTTTAACAGAGGTTACTTACAGCAACTAAAGAGAAAAAAAATTTTAAAAAACGGCGCATGCGTATTTTGAGCGCCCGTATTTTTTCTAAGTCTTTTGGCGGGAAAATTAAACACGGTCAAACCGATGTTAACAAGGAAATAACTTTTACGAAAAAAAAATTGACATGACATTGTGAAAGAAAATGTATCTTGCTACTTATTTATCTACCATCTTGGAATGGAAAAGTGTTTTTGCCTTGCGTCAGTAATTACTGCGTTGAAGTAATCCTGCTTGAACTAGACGAAAATCCGAAGTTCGAGCTGCGATCTTGGGTCATTAATTTACTTTCCACCACGTCTCCTAAAACTTGTTTATGGTCGTGCTTGATTCCGACTTGAGGCAGCGACGGGAAATAATTTCTCAGCAATCTGTAAGAAAATTAAAAGAGACAAATAAATACACTACTCAACAACCATAATATTTAAATCTTTAAACGTTAAATGTTTACATGTTTGTTGTTACATGTACTTCGCCGCTTTTTCGCCGCTGTTTAGGCGCTTTAACTCTGAAATGCGACAAGCTGTTTTGTACTACCGAGCGATACAGCTATGATATAGATATAATAATCAAAACCTTGTTTATCTTCTTAGCAATACCTTTAAGTTTTAAGTTTACAGAGCTTCGCCGCTCTTGAAATGACCGGTTTCCATATTATCATAAGTGGTCGCAATAACATTCGAAGAAAGCCCGTAAATCTTTAAAGACGATTTTAAATTATCCTCGAGACTTGAGCGTATTATTCCAAACCCGACAGATACTGGCCGTTTCCTGAAATGTTTCTGGGAAGTTTTCGCTTTGAAATTAATACACCAAGCTAGCAAAATAATTTAGCTTAAAGTGTAAATATAATATTTCTTTGACTACTAATTGCATCTAATGACGGTTATAATTCACTTGTCACTGAAACGAACGGGAAACTTGACCTGAGAAATTGTAACTATAGTTTTAATGCTAGCAGAGGACTTAAAATTTGCATAAAACGCAAAATTTTCCAAAGCTTTTGGCCACGTGCAGCACCAAAATGCAAATCAGATGGTGTAGAAGGTAGGAGGAGCCAAGTCCCTTTCATACTCTTTTCTGAAACTCATTAATAATTCATCGAGTTTGAATAAAGGAAATCATGACCGTGACTGCGTTTGGATATCTGATCTTACTTAGCATAGATTTTCACGATTTTATTTCTCCGTTTTCTCCATAGTTTTCGCTTCGATCGAGAAGATATATCAAACACTCAAGACAGTGTTTGACCACATTTCCAAACACCTCGAAGTTCGTCAAAAATACTCCGCTGCGAGTCCTATTTTCAACTCTCTCCTCGGTGTTTGAAATGTGGTCAAACACGGACTTTTTTGTTTGATATATTACTTAAATGTCGTTGTAAAGTTTCCAACGACCAATATGAATAAATATTAGCGGCCGCCAGTGATAATATGGAAACTGGTCACCTGGTAAAGATTGGCTGGACTCTGGACTCTGGGCTCTGGACTCTGGACTCTGGACTAGACCATCGACTAATTCTTATTCGACTACTCAACGAAGTTAATAATTAACTTGAGTTAAAAGTTGGCAATAAACTTGATCAACTGTTTATATGCCATGCAATACACCACTGGAAGCAATTTTGAACACTCAGCATGGCAAATGAGATCACGAAAACTCCACAAAGTCCTTTTAGACCCATATGATTTACCGGTCAAGAAAACTCATTCCAGTTTACTTGAAAACACCACCTACAAACCCATGGTGCAGACCTGGGCACTGACAAAAATGGCAGTCACCTTTGCTAATACCTTCGTGGTTAAGGATGAAACAAAACTCTTACACCAAAAAGAATTTAAACCACTAGTTTGGAAACGCTTTATAGAAGACATATCTTCCTTCTGGACAATAAACAGACAAGAGATAATGAGCGAGTAACCAAACCCCTTCAGACCCACGCAGAAATTTCTGAAATAGAAACGATTTTTCGGAAACAGAAACGGTCTTTCTACAGGTGAAAGATTCATAAAACAGATTAGTTCTCGATGAACGCCCACTTCCAAGCCCATTAAAACCATTCGATAAACGCACTTTACTTAGAGCCACCCACCAGGGGTGAAAAAAACCTTCATTCAGAGGAGAGTCGCTACGACCTCTCAGAACAAACTTTTCTACAACACAATTGAAGAGAAAACGTTCGAAACATCAACCCTCGCCTCCACGAGCGAGGCTAACAAGAGAAGCCTATGCAAAGGACCCCTTCACCTGTGCTGTTTGAAGACAGAAAGATAGATAGCTCTCCAACAAAGAAATCTTCCTTTTCATTAGCTCACCTAATTTACAAAGAGATCCTGTTAAAGTCGCTGTTTCAATGATATTCATGTAATTGTTCTTCAATGTATTGTCCCAGCCAAAAATGAATTTTAATTGAAATCGAAAACAAACTAGAGTGAAAGCCAACCACAAGCAAACCATTGTTCTTACTACCACATTCATGTCATTGTTGTTTACTACATTTATGAATTTTCCCAAAAAGAAATTTAAAATGCCAGAAAACAAAACAGATTGTTAAAAATGAAAGATATGAAAATATTCATGCCTCAAATCTTTAAATTTGGTGCCAAAACTGGGTTGCCTGCGTGTGGTAAGTAGCTTTCCAATGTCACAAGGTAGGACAATAGCCAGTCAAACTTACAATATTCCAACAAAATATCTTGTTCCTCGATAGATTTAACCTAAAATTATCGAAAGTATTAGAAGTGGCCAAAACTACAGTTCAATGTATTTTTGTGGAGGCCACTGTATGCCAGGAAATTTTCCAAAGTTTGAGATTGCTAATAAACCTGACCAAAAAATTCTTTGAACTTTGTAAGAATTTGTAACTTAAGCATGTGTATCACAATTTGAAAAATGGGGTAATATTGATCAGCCAAAGTATAACTGCTGGAAAGAGCTGGAAACTGTTGCCAGCCACCTTATGCTAATTATCATTCTTCATAAAGTAATTGAGTAAAAATTAGTCTATGGTCCAGTCCAGAGTCCATACTGCTATGGGTAAATGACAATGAAAGCCTTTTCAGTGAGTGAAGTGAAAAATTCAGTTCCATAATTACAGTTTTGTTTTAATCATTTTTACTATAATTTAATTAAAGCTCTTCCATTTTGCTGTAAATGCCCTTGTAACCAACAAGATGATAATTGATGAACCAAGTTTGAATAAAAAACATTTTTCAATGTTCCATGAAAAACACTTGTACGGCGACTGAGAAGACTTTCATTCAAAGATCAAGTTATCCTGCAATATCAAATACACCCCTAACCTTTTTTTCTCGATTTTCAGACTCCAGAGATGACCAGACTGTGGTCCTACACCATTTCAATCTCACTGCCTATCCATGTATAACCAAGCCAGTGTATAGTTCCTCACATGCACTTTCCACAACTGATGGGAGATCTACCCATACTCCTTGGGGGAGACATGAAGCATATCTGCAACTACAAAACAAAGCAATCTTAGTTTCACAAAGTGATGTAGTTTTATAGTGGTGTTTCTAAGACAGAGGGAGAGATTTTGTAATTTGGCTCTGTGGACCATTGCTTATTTCTTTCCAGGTCTTATAAAATGTACATCTGTACAGATTGATAGCTTTCCTGTATTTTAATTTATGTCACTAAGGTAAATAGTTGGTTCCATGTTTTCCAAATTGACTCAAGTTTGAGCCTAAAGCTTGTTTTTAAGTGGTACTATGATCATATTTTTACCCCTTGATTTTTTAGGTGTATCACATAGAATTCCACGAAAGAATAAAGACACCATTTGCCATTTGCAAATCTCTGCATTACTTCCGAAGATATTTGAGTTTGAAAAATGTGTAAAATATGCAATATTTGTCATAGTACCACTTTAAGCAACAGAGACAGTTGTTGATCGCCTTATAGGCCCTTTGCAGCTAAGCCATCACGTGACCTATTTTTCATAACATTATGGGCTATAACTTAACCAATGCCAGAAATGGAAAAAGCATGTCGAAAATATCAAAATGGCCAAGTTCGAGGCCCCCATCATTAAACAAGGAGATTTTATGACAGTCCAAATTTTTAAAAGAATAAGAAGATTTCTGTGGAAAAAGTTGCTGGAGAGCAGGACCTTGCTCTCCAGCAACATTTTGCATACGAATCCTCTAAATTTTCTGAAAATTCAAACTGTCGTATAAAGTTACTCCTTAATTCCAGGGGCCTCAAACTTGGCCATTTTGGTATTTTCAATGCGCTCTATCCATCTCTGGCATTCTTTAAGTTATAGCCCATAATATAAATATTTTTTAGGAAAAATTTGGTCACGTGACCCCAGCTGCAAAGGGCCTATTGTCAAGCACTTGTGGTATCAGGCTTTGCAAACCCTCCCATTTCTTCCGCTGTGCCTGTGGCAAGTGTGTGTTCAGGGGCACTTCTAAAATCAGCACACTGTCATTGCTATACAGGTCTACCATCGGTTTTTTGGCTGCTGGAGGGGGACTATCACATTGATCAACCAATTCATTCTATGCCTATGTGTGCTTTCTGCTTGCTTTGCCCTTGCAGGACAAGATCATCGCAGGTAAAGACATTGAACAGAGTACATTATTGGCAGTTAACTTGGTGCAGAAAAATCCAGTACCACAGCTGTTACTGGATGGCCACCTTGTGTTGAGTTCCCAGCTGAAGAAACAATGCTGGCACATCAAGGACATAATTCGTGGATGGAGGAATTTTCCATTTTTTCCCTCATTCTTGTTCATCATTTTCCTCACAGCTAGAAGGATCTGATGCAGTGCCAACTTCCGATCCCTGTACCTCCTACCCCCATTTTCCTGAAGAGTTTGGCTTGCTCATGATCAATCTTTCTGCAAACATGCAGACGCAACTCATCTTCCAGATTGCTCTACTATAATTGTGGCTGGTTCATCAATCTCTTGAGCCTCCAGGATCGTCTTCAGCCATCATTGGGCATACCACGGTTCTGTTTGTGTCTTGCCATTATGCACATCGTTGCAATGTATGTCCAGGCTCCCACCATGCAACTTCGTGTACCACTTGGCCCTTCAAGGATGGCAGTGCTGATTCCAAACATTGTGACCATTCCCCAAGGGCCTCTGGGTCATCTTCACAGACATTTGACTTTAGGTCTTTGGCAGCTCTTACCCCACAAATTCGCCACCATGCCTTGTTTCCTTTTTGCTCTCTTTGGCACGTTTGTCTAGTCTCAAGTGACTCTGTTTCCAATTGCTTTTAGCGATTATATTGCGACTTTTGGGTCCAGTTAGTTAATTTTTCTTTTTTGGGGTGTCCCGTCTTTCATACAGTGTTGGTGACTTCCCCACACATTTGCATGTTGCTGAACTCAATTGGGACTTGGCTGGGAATGCAAATCAACAGGCAGCATGATATTATGTTCTCTGGGGCCTTCAGTATCATAATTGTTTTCATCTGGGATTCCGCCCTGCTCGCAGATTACAGGTAGCCAAAAGAATAAGATGATTGATGATTATCTGGGAAACGAGGTTTCATGATATAGGGTTGCAGGCCCAACCTGATTGATTGCCTTGCCCAGTTTAAAAATAAGCAGTTTTGATGTAATCACCCAAAAGGTCAACCTGGCAAATGGCACTTCATCATGGATTTGTCACCTCGTTGGGGCTCAAGTGTAAATGATGACCAATCCTGACAGTTTTCCATGCACTATATCAAGGTCAACCAGACCTTGCACGGTTGCCAAGCATGGGCCTGTGGCTATGATGGCAAAGCTCGATGTGGAGGACATGCATTGCAATCTTGCAGTTCATCTGGAGGATCCATATCTTTTAGGGATGGAGTGGCATGGCCAGTTCTTCTTCGACTTGGTCATCCCCTTTGCTCTCTGCTATGTACGTTACATTTTTAATTCCATCGTGGATATGGCGGAATGGATCATTTTGAATAGGTACGATGTTGCACACCTGGTGCATTACCTTGAAGACTTTATTCTAGCGGATCCCCCGGACTCTGATCAATGTGCCACAAATTTAAAGATTTCGCCACTTGCTTGGCTTTCCCTTTCCCACGAGTTTATCAGTCAATGACTGTAAAGTGTTTTTACCCTCATTAATAAAGTTACTTACTTACTTACTTACTTATTGTCTCATCTACTCATTTGGTGGCATCGAGGATGTGCTGGCCAGAGCAGTCTGCTGCCTCCTGACCAAAAAACTGACTTCTGTTGCTGATGGCGTGCTGGGTTTTGGGGTTTACTTCAATACTGAGTGACTCAGTGGTGCATGGGTGCCCTGCAGTCGCATCGATCCATCGCCAGTAAGGAGCTTTTCACCATAGTGGTAGCTTTGCACCAGTAGGGTTCCCAGTGGTGTCAATATCATGTACTTTTTCTGGTCAGATAATGAGACAGTGGTACACATCTTGATCTCCAGGACATCTAAGTTCCGATGTATTGTGCAGTTTCTGTATCATTTACTTTCTGCAACTGTTTGCTTTAATTTTACTTTCAGTGTGTGGCATATTCCTGGTATCCATAACAACATTACTTACGCTCTTTTCTGATTTTATTGGCAGGAATTCAAGCAGTTGGCCCTCGGCACACAACTGCACCTGGTTCCAGCTTTGGGAGCTCTTGATTCCTCTGCATTAGAGGCCCAGTGTCATGATTTCTTGGCGCAACGACTAACTTCATTGACGGGCAGCTTATATGTCTCAGGCCTGAAGATGTTTTACAACCTCTGCATACAACTCGATATGATTCATCAATCTGGATCACCCTACCCTAAGGATGAGTGGACATTCAACCATGAGGGTTTATCTGTCGGCAGTTTGCTTCTTGCATATCGAACAGGGCTTTCCTGATCCTCTTATTTGATGCTTGAGGTTGCAATCGGTGCTTAGAGGAATTAAAAGAACTCATGGTAATGCCTCTTTGTTACGCTTACCAGTTATAAAAGACATTGTGGTGGCAATTTTTGTGCATTGGACTTGCGCCTTCCAGAACACTGTATGAGCAGCATGTAATTTAGGGTTTTTGTAGTTTTCTTTGCTCTGCCGACATTACCATCCCGAATCTTGCTAGTTTTTCACCTGCTATCAACCTGGGTGTGGCCAGCATTGTAGCTGATTTGAACACATCCCCTTCACGTCTATGGATCAGGGTAAAGGATTCTAAAGCAGATCCGTTCCATAAAGGCAGCTCCTTACACATAGGCCCTTTGTTCCTGTTTTGTAATGGGCATCCATTATCCCGTGTTATATTACAATCATTGTCGGTGCACGACATCTTATCATCAATTGGCATACAAGGCAAGTTTTCCAGCCACAGGTTTCACATTGGAGCAGCAACAGTAGTTGTAAGGAATGGCATTCCAGGCGACGAAATGGAAACTCTGAGTATCAGACAAGCACTGCCTACTTATCGTTCATGCAGTTCGCATCTTCAGCTGCTCGATGATCCTTCGTTTAGACCCACTGCAGGATCTGCAGCGACTGTGGGGCCCTCGCATGGCCTAATTGCTCAACCTAGCTGCTTTGTATTCAGTAATGGTTGAGTATCGTTATTCTGTCCTCCTAGGTGCTTCCATTCATGGTACGGAGGTTAGGTTTAACTGGGTCACCACATTAGTGTGCTCCGCTAGAGAGTGGCTTGCTCATGCCATCTCAGAAACTTAGTTCTTGGATATGACTCAGTCTGTGTCAGTGCTGCCTGGATTGGTATAGCCCTGTGGTTCCTAGAGCTGTCATTTGTCATGCTGGGCATTGACAATGTAGCCAGTTTTTAGTATTTTACAATCAAATAAGTCCTGTAGAAACCATCATGTTGTTTCTTTGTCTTGGCATGTATCTGTCTTTGTTTAATTGGGTTTCTGCTCCTTTTTGTCAGGGCATGGGATCTGGTGTTTGGAACGTTTGGTGGGCCTTGGTTCCGCCTCCACCCCTCTTTGCGGACCTTTGCCCTCCAAGCATCTAGGAGGGCAAGGTCTGGTGGTTGCCACTCACACTGAGTTGTCATGGATACCCTTCGTGCTTAGCTTGGATTGCTTGTGGCTCCACTATCCTTTAAGGCACCATTCCCCAAGCTCATCTATTGTTGACGAGTTTAAATGTGGCTAAATGTAATTTACTAGGCTATGTTAAACACAAGACAATTTTGCTGGCCAGAAGTCTCCCAAATAGGATTGGTGTGTGGGGTGGCAAGTGAGTTTGTGCCTGGGCTCTTTATAGTTTACAGTTTGGCTTCACATGTCAAGTCATTCTGCATGTTTTTGCTGCTGACTGTTCTCCTAGAGCTTTTTGCCCAGGTCAGCACCCCTCCTCTTCTCATGGAATGGATGTGGTAAGTATTTTTGTTCCACTGTTTGTTCAGTGTGATGGTGCCTGGTGGTTGCCGCTCACAGGGTTGTCACATGGATACCCTACACACTTGGTCCAGATTGCTCATGGCTTCCACCATCCTTTTAAGCACCATTCCCCAAGCTCATCTATTGTTGACGAGTATTAAACACTCACATCTAATCTTCAACACACTCTAGACTGGGAAGATTTTGTCAGTTCTCCCATGTGCAAGCCAATTCAAGACAGCCTTACTGGGCATCTAATTATCATTTCCTAATTAACAAAAGAATATTCCTTAAACAGAACTGAACACTTAGCTGCAATTTTAAAATGTAACCATTTTCTCCTGTCCAGGTTAATTGAGATACTTGTTCCAGCTCTAATGACATTGTGTGATCTCGCAGTCTGTTTAATCTATGTTTGCGGAAAAAATAAAGTTAAGAATTGATAATAAAGCCTTGCACCACCTGAAGATACATGTTATTGTAGTATCTGATAATTTCCCCTGTAATTTGAATTTGTCCTTTAGAAAAGGAAAGGGATAAGGAAGCAACCCTTCCCCCCACCCCCGTCACCAAAAAAAAAAAAACCTTGACACTACTGGAGAAGCACTGGTAAGACTTCATGGTTGTTATAACAGCTGCAGAGATAAACATGACCAACCAGTTTGTGAATCTTGAACAGGATTTTTGCAAAAGTGTGTGAGTTACATCTTAATTAAGGTTACTTCCCACCTTCAAGGGGACCAAAATTGCTTTTTTTTCTTTTATTTGACAAAATTTAAGTCAGTCATTTTATCTTCATTTTACAAAAGAAAAAGATTAAAAATCTCAAAAAAGCAGCCAAGTTATTTAAATAGAAAAAAGTCTTTTCAGATAAAGTTAATACCCAGGAAGGTGTCATAATCGCTAAATGGACAAAACCGCCAGGGGAAATTTTTGTGACAAACGCTCGTTTTGGAGCTTGAATTTCATGTTATTTGGTATTGTTTATATCACGCATTTGTTCTTTTGCCTTTGGCTACTTTGTTTGTTGCAGTGTCTTTCTCTTCAATGTGACAGCGAGATAGAAAACATGTTGCAATGCGATACTCTTCCTGGGAAATCCTGATCCATTGTCATTGATGCTGGGAGGTCCTGTTGTTCCACTGGCTTGCGGTTTCATAAGGTGAGATAATCTCCTGGCGTGGTGTGAGTTGTTTACAAATCTTTACGAGCTAAAATCTCGCATTTGATTTTGGGAGGAATACCTCCACTTTGAGCGAATTTAAAGGGTATGAAGATTTGATGGATTTTTGTGAAATTCCGCCAGAACATTCCAGGGATAATGACAAATGAAAGTATGTCAGGAAATTTTGATATTTAACATATTTTTCCCGAGGCCTCCATTAAAGCAACATGTCTTACATATTTTTAGCTACTCTAACTATAGATGCGGACATCTAGACAACCAATCAGAATACTGAAAAAGCTCGACATTTTTGTTGATTGATGCCTTGTGAATAAGACTGTGCAGCCAATTTGCTTGTGTGGTGGCATCCGCTAGCTGATAAATTCAATACAAAAACCCTCGGTCGCTTCACATCTTACAGCCCCTAAAACTTCCTAAAAGAAAAACTTGCTCAAATTGTATTCTTATCGTAAACTTCATTTATTAAACTTTCTTCTGATATATAGTATAGAGTTTATTGAAACTAGGGGGTGTACGATTTTTTTCCCGAAGGACACCCATGATGGAGGGAAGGAAGTAATGTTGCAACTTTGCTGCTGTTAATTTGTAACTTACCACTGCAGCTATGCTGTCCCATAATAATGCAGAAGGCAATGGCAATGCAGTTTCATTGCTACTCCCCCTAGATGAAATGCTAGCATTTTACTCCATTGCAGGTTATTACTCTCCAGCATTCTGTAAGATATTAACCCCAATAATTGGGTTTTATTCATTTAATGTTCCTGGTTAAAGACAGGCACTGCGAGATAAGTGTCTTGCCCAGGAACAAGACTCAGTGACCCCAGCCATGGTTCAAACACAGACAACTTGATCCGGAGTCCAGCACACTAACCATTACACCACCATGCTTCCTACATGGCCATCTATATACTGACTTGAGAATATTTTTAATAACATTAGCTAACACTAACCTGTGGTTTATTCGGAAGCTCACAGCTATCCTCCTGCCTGTTCTCTATACTAATCATGAGAACTGGACATCATCTAATAAGCCTCTTACCCACGCTGAAGAATCGAAAAAAAAAAATTGTGGTCACATAAGGTTGATGCATAGTTAAAATCATTTACAACATACAGTCATACTGTAGATGAATTATTTCAATGGTACTACAATATTCATTATTTTTTACCTGTCATTGCAGGCCTGCAAAAGTTACTTACTTCAAACTGATCCACTGAAAGCAGGCAAATTTAACAATTAAGAAGCTTGACATCACTTCAGTGCAGCTGAATGCACACAAGTTGATGATTTCCCCATTTCACATAAAATTATGAGTTACAGGAGAAAAGCCCTCATTGCACACACCTACTGTACAGGCTCGCAGTGCAGTTTTGAGAGAATTATCACATACATGTACAGGTATCACTTGTAGTATCTGGATATAATTATATGTCATTTATTGCATTCACATTCGTACAGTTACCAATAAAAACTGGAGAGGATCACTGAGAAAAGACTTATCATTATCAAGTCCTGAAAACAGATCTGATGTTGTGGTACCTGTTAGGTCTACATGTAAAACTGGGGTGTTGGGTTGAGAGTGGGCCTGTAGAGCACTCAGATACAAAATCCTAAATAGCCTAAATACAATCCACAGCTTAGCTAGTATAGTCTGTTCATGGTTGGCTTTTGATAATGTCAGATTATGGCAACACCCCTCATCCTTCATGTCTCACCCCCATTTTAGACAAGTCACCATTTACTAGCACATGTATGTATGGCTAGCATTCAATATTGGAAATGGCAACACCTCTCACCCCTCAACCCCATTTAAGACCTGCCAGATGCTGCCAAAATAGTAACCCCCGCCACTCCCAGGTGGGTACCCTATAAATCTTTGGATGGGAGTGTGCCGCCAGGACACTTACAGCCCTTACCCTAGATATATACTAGACCATGATCAGCTTGATTTCGAAACCCTATTCTAGACTAGGCATCAAAAACCCCTACCCTATCCTAAACCAGACTAGGTATTTTCCATGCAGAAACTTTATCTCTGCCGTAGTCCAACATACGCTAACTAAACCAATATCTTACAAAGTTACTTCACAATTCTGAGTTTTAATTTCTATTATAGAACCTCGGGTAATTGAACCCTGTTCCTAAGACTAAATTATTTTTACATTGTCTGCTTTCCCAGTAAACTATACCCTATTCTAGACCAAAACTGTCTGATCTGTATACCCTATCCCAGACTAAACTGAGCTGCCTGAAAACCTGCAATTACCCTTCACAACGGCACCTGCCCGGCAGCAACCATTTTAATCTAAAGGCCAACAGAAAATATATCCTCAGTCTACAGAAGGGAAGATCATTGAAGAGAACTTAAAACTTAAAATTATGCACACATGATTATGGGAATTTAGATATCAATAAACTGACCAAGGCAAGCAACTTTTAATTGCATAAAATTAAGCTTATCGTCATTATCAATAAGCATATTATATTATACATAAGCTTAGCTTGTTTAACTTTCCTGCGTTTAACTTAATAACAGTTTAGAGCATACGTAAGACGAAACAATCCATATGTAAAAGAAAATTCACCGTATTTTTGTTGAGAGCAACTCCATCAAAGCTTATTAAACAGTTGGTTGATTAGGCTTACCTCTTTGACAGAGAACACGATTTCAACTCTTTGACGACGCGTCCACCAAGTTCCTTTCGTTAATACTTGCAGCACATGAACGTAGATAGCCTGAGCAGCATGAACGACGAATTTTTGAGGCTAACATCGTTGATTTGATTGATTTATTTCCCGTAGGAACTAGCAAACTAAGTTCAAATTTAGCTCCGTTCTCCGGTCTCTTTCCACGTGCTAAAAGTACGATAAATACATGAATAATTAATTGCATAATAACTAATATATTACAATGTATGCCAAAATATTTTAAAGGCTAAGTTTTTACGACCAGAATCCTTCAGTGTCTCCAAACGAACAAACAATCATATTTTAGCCGAAGCAACAGGATACTTTACATGGAATAAAAGTTGTTTGGAAGATTTTCTGAAGGTCGAAATTTGAACTGTCGAAAATTGAATTTCCAAACATTTTTGTTGAAAATAAACAGTTTCATCCTCCCCGCCTTCGTAGTCAACCAAGCGATTTTGACAACGAACCAGTGGATTGTAAATAACAATTGTCAGTGGGTTGGAATGGCTGAGTTTGGCACCCTGAATCCTCTATTTTATCTTGACCTTCCCCGTAGGTATCGGGGGTGGAGGGGTGGGGTGGCGGTAGGTGGGTGTGGCCAGACACTAAGTTTTACTACCCCGCAAAAAGAAAAAGAAATAAATTGGTTTCTTACAAAAATGACAACAGATCTTTCAAAATACCGAAAGTTTATTCAAAATTTTACAGGTTACTATACTTGAGTAAGCTCGTAGCGGTCATAGTGTGAAAAACTGAACGGCCACAATGAAAAACTGAACGGCCAAAATGGGATCGGCCGGGAGTAATAAGGGTTCAAGATAATGACATTATAATGGCTCAGAGGAAGAGGTTGCCCACTCTTGGCGAGTTTCAAAGATATAACTTTTACTGTTAAAGAAGCTATGATGATGGTACAAAATATTGTTCAAAGTCCAGATCGAGAGGGCCAGGAGATCGATCGAGAGGCAATAAGGAACGTCTCGCAAAGGATTCTGGGTGTATTCGTCAGAACATGGCGTCTTCAAGCAACCAAGAAGAAGGTAAGGCGACTAGAAAACAAAATTTAGAGTCGGTTTTATTGGAAAAAAGTCAAAGACGAATTTGAAGTAGCCGTTTTTACGCCTTTTCAGTCAACCAAATACAAATCTTGAACTCTACGAATTCAAAACTGTCCCGTAAAGTGTGCCCGCCAAAATTCGCTTCGGAGTCGTTACAAATGCAAACGATTTTTCGCGGCCTAAACACACTTACTTGCCGTGTGAAACAACTCTATAACTCTTAACGAATGCTTTAAATCCTTCCTTGAGTTAGTTAATTACCACATGGAAGTGAAAAGCGTGCAAAAACAGCGAATATATGAGGACCCTCCGCCAACCATGAGGTTGACCGCGTTGTTTGTCGTTTTGGGAAGGTCAGCGGGATTATTTGTGGAAGATACTACGATTTCCGCTGACCCTCCTAAAGATTTCTCTACTTTCATCGCTTTCCATCGACTAGAAAGTGAAGAGGAGTAAAGGGCGAGAAGATTCGAAGCAGAGGCGCCAATTCTTTCCAACTTTCGTTCTCTACTTGCCAGCCCTGGAAGCTCAAACAACGGCAGAGCGATCGGCGCCATATTTTACTTTTGTTTCACTCTTTGAGCGTTTATTCGGGCTTTGTAGACTTGTGTTAGCCGCTCTCCTTCTTTCGAAGGATCGACGTTCACATTATGTGTAGTTTTCCAAATGTGGTTGTATTTCGAATTGAATGTTATTTGTCATTTTACTTATTGAAGCCGGTTGTGTTTCACAAAGGGTATTTCGTAACGGTTCCACACGCGACAAGGAGTGGTTTCTTCGCGTTCCGTCGTGATTTTAAAAATTCAATTTGAAGTTGTGTGGTGGCGATCGGCAAGTATTACGAAATGTCGTTTGTCTTTTTTCATACCCTTGGTTGAATATATAGTCCTTGTGGAAATTTGAAGTTATCCATCGACGTTTTGGAGCCGATTTGATACATATCTGCAAATTTTCTCGTGTTTGGTAGCGAAATACGTGAGTCGGAACTTTGCGAAAGTGACTTGGAATGCAGAGTCAAAGTGTGGTCCCAGGGATTTCAGTCAATTTTGCCGAAGTTGAAACATTTAAACATGATGCCTGGAGTGCATGTAGCCTTTGATCTTAAAACTATTGTTAGAAGTGCAATTAATTGTTCACCAGTTTGTAAATCAACATACATGTAGTGGTCTTCTTAAAAATATCTTAAGCTATATTCTTAAACTTAATAGTTGATTACCTTGAGCTTAATGCACCACAGAGTTTGAATAAAGTTTTACTTTACATTCAAAGAGAATACTTCCTCCACAACATAGCTAGGATGATTTGAATGTGACACCATTATTTTAGAGGCTTATCAATTACTTTTGCCAACATGTGGGATTTATAATTCAAAGCATGCCACATTTGCCATTTCCATTTTCATTTTCAAAGTATGAGCATTATCAATTTCCCCAGATGTATGTGCTGTGGCAAAACAAACATGGAAAAGGCCCAAAACCAATCAGAATTTTGTCATTGACATGTATCAAACATTATTTTATGAGCTGTGGTTGAAGTTCTACTTGATGAAAATTTTAGCAGAATTTTTGAGTGTACTCTGTTCAAATGTACAGTCTAACTTGGATATAACGACCCTGTATTAAGTGACCACCCTCCTTTAAGCAGCCAGTTTTCAAAGTCCTGATTTTTTTGCTCATACAAATGCTGTATTTGTTGCCTGTATTAGGCGGCCACCCTTTAGCAGTCCTATGTTTGCTTTTCTTTATTATTTTGAATGGAAACTAAGCCACATGTCATTTTATGTGTTTGAAGTGCAATCCATTAACACTATAAAGAAATAACAANAAGAAAGATGTAAAGCCCAAAATGTTTCTGCCAGTTGTTTCTGTTCTTGTTATTTTGTCAATGATTGTAAAAGATACGCAGGCTATGATAAACTGACTCAGTAAAACTATTATAGACAATTTTGTCAAACATTTTATCAGAGTAAATTGTAAAAGAACAAAAATGATTTCCGAGAACAATTGCTAATAATCGATAACAATCGAAGAATCAATCGTTGTCAGTTACTATCGGAAATCGATAACTCACAACTTTTTTTCCTCATCGATTTTCATCAATAATATTACTATAAGCAATCAATATCAGTCCTTGATTGATATTGATTGTTATCGATTAATATCAATGACTGGTTTATCGATTGACTACGCCTGGGTAAACAACTCGCATAACCTTGCATATGGCTCAGTTGCCTCTGAAATTTGAATAACTAATCAGAATTCAGCAGCTGGGAGAAATTGTACTGTTCTGACCACACATGGAAGGCATGGAACTCAGACCAGGCCACTTCTCTCACTGGAGACTGCAACAAATATTCTCAAAAAGGGATTTAGAATGCCAGACACCATAACTGATTATCAAATATGTAAAACAAGAAAAATTTTGTGTATCTAAGAACAAATTTGGTGTTAAAATTGGGTCACCAGCATCTGGTAAATAGTTTGCCAAGTCTCACCAGGTAACTAGGTAATAGTTAATCTCTCATTATTCTGATTAAATCCAGATTCTCAAGTAAAGTATTAGGAAAGGCCAAAAATACTTAATGAGCATTACGTCTATTTTTGTTGAGGCCATGGTTTGCATGGAAATATTTGAAAATTTGAGATGGCTTAGAACCCCCTCGGCCTCCACAGAATTTCTTTAAACTTTGCAAAAAGTTAAATGTGTGTATCACAATTTGCTAATGAAAAATGGGGGCCACCAAGTTTGTTTTAGAGGTATAAAGAGTTACAGCTAAAACTAAGGGTGTTTTAGGCTGAGAAGATGACCATAACTGTTACTCACCAATGATAATGTGCTTTGTGTGATACAAAATATTGTAACAGTACTTGATAAAGAGTGGCAGTATTGATCTTTCAAAGAATAAATGATGGAAAGAGCTGGAATCTGTTGCCAGGCACCTTAAGCTAATTAGTAACTTTGTTACTTATTAAAACAATTGAATAAAAATTAGTCAATGGTCAAGTCCACAGTCCAGCCCTTATTTTCCAGCAAACAATGGAAACAGGCATAAATATCAGGCACATACTGATAGGTAATTGAAAACGAGAGCCTTTTCAATTTAAAGATAACAGTTTTTAAAGCTTCTGATTTGCTGTAAATGCTCTTGTAAACTACGAGATGACATTGATGGACCACTTTGTGTGGAAGATATTTTTCAATGCTTCATTAACAAAAAAAAACTAAAATCCAGAATTCCTGGTGTTTTTGAGCTTGTTTTGGATGGATTTCCCTGATTTGTCACAAAACGACTAATCTTTGGAAAAATTTGGTCACATGATTAATTAACCCATTAACTCCAGAGATTTTTCCCAAAAAATGATATTTTTGGACATTTTGGACATTTTCAGCTCGGATATGAGCCAAATTAGCTGCAATCTACTCAAAAAGACATAATTTTGCAACATGACAGCATACCTTTCTTTCCACTAGCATCACATTTTATGGCATTTTTTGCTCGGGCATGTGCAGAAATCAAAATTTCGAGAGTTTTGGATGAGAAAGTGACCTATGTCTTTAGGCTTTTGAGGTTTTTAAATTTTTTTGTCGCCTTTCCTTTTTCACCTTTTCTTATCTTTTTGCTGCAGTGATTGATCTTCTACTGGGCTTGCTTGCAGTTTAAAAATTCTCAAGAAAGTATCAATGAGACGAGCAATTCCTACCATGGAAATTTCTGACTATTTTTGTGCATATTTCAAGCTCCATTGAGCCAATCACTTTGATCTGTGTATTACTGGAAATATTTTTTCCCCCCTGCAGAACTTAAGTGTAGACGATGCCAATTTTGGTGAAAGGTGATGATGTCATAAGTGGAACAAACGCTAACGCTTGTCATGTCTGCTTACGGCTGGCACAGGCCTCAATGGGTTAATAAACAATTGTACAATGATTGAAAAGACTTTCGTTTGAAAATAAAGTTATCCTTTAATATCAAATTAACCCTTACCATTTTCTTGATTTCCAAGCTCTAGAGATGTCCTGACTGTGGTCCCACACCATTTCAATCATCTTGCCTTTCCATGCATGTATAACCAAGCCAGCTGTGTATAGTTCCTCACAATTTTCCACGAGTGATGGAAGATTTTGTACCCAAAGACTCCTGACTCCTAGGGGGAGACACAATGTATACCTGCAACAAGAGAACAAAGCACATTTTAGTTTCACAAAGTGAATGCAGATATATGGTGGCCGGCTGTTTATGAGACAAAGGAGGACAGATTTTGCATGTTGACCACGACAAATTATGGACACTGTTGAGCATAATAATTACTGATTATTGTTTTTTCACCTTCCCTGTGAATGACCTAATTAAGTCATCTGTACAGGTTGAAAGCTTTCCTGTATTGTAATCATGTGATTAAAGTAACATAAGTAATTGTTCTGGAGTTATTACTAGCACTCAGGCTCCCTTAGGAAAGCCCAAGTCACAAAATGCAAGCCGTTCTGTCTTGGTTGCCAAAAGGAGGGTTGGTGGGAGGGGATGAGGAGGGTCATGGTCTACAGGCGTTCCTAGCATAGAGCGTGGAAACTGGGAATGAGAATGTGACAGATCGCTTTATTGTGTGCTTGCTCTTCGTGAACAATGTAATATACAGAATGTTGTGTTTTGCAAAAATAGTTTTGGAACGAATCACGCCTTAAAATTTTGTTCATCTCCCATACAAAGAGGTGACAAATCTGATCACAAATAAACTTTTTTGAAAATTGAATTTACAAGATTGTATTCACCAAGTTTGAAGGATGTAGCTTGGCTAGAAGATGCTCTGTTAGTTTTTCTAATTTTCCATACATTTGTCTGTAAATTTGGCTGGGTAGATGTGGTTCGCGGGGAAAAAATTATTGACAAATGTATGGGAAATTAAAATTTAACTGAGTGAGCGTCTTCTAACCCAGCTAGGTCCTTCAAATGTGGTGAAAAAATCTGCTACTTAGTATGGTAAATTTGTGATTCATAAAAAGAGTTATTTGCCATCGGATTCCCATACAAACGCTGTAATTTCTGACCGCTATACCTGCCCGGCAAGATGGCAGTGAAAACCATGATTATTAATATTGCTTGAGAGCCTGCCATTTAAGCAAAGTTCTTGTTCTCGCAAGATAACAAATGAGCCATGTACAAAGACGAACATCTCAGATGGTGAAAAAATCAAGAATTGTCGCAAACAGAACTTTGAAGATGAGGCAAACAGCGCATAACATTGGATAAAGATCATACTCAATGAAGCAACTTGAATAGTGAATATCTATAAGCTGTCCAAGTGCAACAGTTAACTATTGTCTTAAATATCCTGATTCTTTTATATTGTTCTTATTGTGTTCAAAAAGCTTACTTGTAAATTACGATTTGATAGTGTAGAACGAAGCCTGAGTAAACGCTCTTGAAGAGTCTAGACTCATTTTTTGTAGTAACTTTAGACTGAATTCTTTAAACTAAGATACTGATAGATTAAAATCATTAAACAGAGAAAGGTCCTGATTACTGAGAGGGGGATATAAGCATAGCTTTTCATTCAAGTAAAAACCGTTTCAATCACAGTGTTTTCAGCAAAGTAAAAAAAAAACAAACAAACAAAAGTGAAACTGGAACAACGCACTGAAACAAAATCACCTGACCAAGTTGCATTGATTTTCCTTTGTATTCTGATTGGTTGAGTAAACTGTGAAAACTTTTTTAAATTAATTGCAGAATGCATTTAATAATAAACCAAAGCATCTTGCTAGAAAACTAGGTAGCCTTCAACACTCAACTGAGGACCACAACAGAGGAATTTTAATGTGGCAATACTTACAGCAGTTCTTGCTGATGGTCTGTCATGATCCACCACAAGTTTGGAATACTGTCACAGTCGGACTTCAACATTTATTTATTACAGGATGAGTTCATCGTAACAAAGGACCACAAGCATACAGAACAGACAGTAGAATGCATGGGCACAAGATCCTGCAATGAGGAAGAACCTTTTGTAACTAGACTGTAAATGTAAACTACCAGCTGAGAGATAGAAATGATGCAATTTGTTTTAATACAATTTTTTTAAAAGGTAAACCAGTGAGCAGCACTCTGCAGACTGCAGTTGTAAAACTTGTTTATTCTCCAACGCGTTTCGTCTAACTATTGTAGACTTTTTCAGGGAGTTTTACATTAACATACATTAAATGCCTGTATTTAAGCCATACTGGCAGCTATTTCGATGGCCACAAACCACAAAGGTTTGGTCAGATTTACGAAAGGGAAGAGGCGAAGCTGTAAAATATTTACGCAAGGCGTGAAAGAGTTTTGGGGGCCATGGTTTTAGCTAAATCTGTGGCCCCCCAAAAATTAGCTTACTTACAAAGATTAGCTAATGTTACCGTTTTCTTGTAACACATGGTTCACTCTAAATCTGGCATTATCTGGTTGATTATATTCTTGATGCACGTGTGACTGCAGTTAAAGGTAGCCTTAAAGACAATAGTCCTTCGTGACCTGGATCTATTTTTAGATTTCTGAAAAAGCAACTTCTTTCTGTCGATGTATCGTATTTCGCAAAACAGTGGTAGCAAAAATCCTAATGGATATCGTCTAATTCGTAGCCGCCTCCAAAACCTATCCCTAGTCTCAGAGAAAGACTTGAAGGAAGAAATGTTTCTAGCATACCTCATTAATTCCTCCTTGATAAACTGTGGCCCCCAAAACTCTTTCAAGCCTTGCGTAAATATTTCACAGCTTTGCCTGTTCCCTTTCGTAAATCTAGCCAAACCTCTGTGGTTTGTGGCCATCGAAATAGCCACCTGTATGGCTTAAATACAGACGTTAAATGTATGTTTGTAAAACTCCCTGAAGAAGTCTACGGTAGTTAGACGAAAAGCGTCGGAAGATAAACAAGTTTTGCAACTGTAGTCCGCAGAGTGCTGCTCACTAGTTTACCTTGAAAAAATTGTTTTTAAAAAAGTGTCACCAGGAGTATCAAACAAATGTCTGAATCAACCTGGAGGAGTAGTTCTTATCAATACCTTTTGATGAGGTTGGGGAGATTACTAATTAAAAAGAGAGAGACTTACGAGAGAGGCAGAAGGAAGGGGTGGAGGTTAACCTATTTTACAATGAGAATCTCCCTGGATATATTAAAATAGAACTAGTGGAGACCATTGGATGTTGTTTCTATTCAATAACACATTCAATATAAAAAGTTACCATAAAAAGGAGATTTAGCGGGGCAGGTCCAACCTTGTGAATTTGTTCCTTTGATAAGAGGATGGATGATTGAGAAAGCTCAATCCAATGTCAACCTCATTGTAAAGCTTTTTAACTGATAAAATGTTTTGTCAGGTCTTCCAGGTGCAAATCAAGGTTGCCTTATGTTATTGTGGCTTCCTAACAAATATAGGAATGTTCATTAAACAGGACTCTAACCTGTGATTTTAGAACACCATTTTCTATCATCCATATCATGGTTTTGATACTTATTCCAGCTTGATGTCATTGTGATCTTGTGATATTTACCTTTGATGGTAGAAAAAAATAAAGTTAGTGATCATACAATGAATGATAAAGCCTTTAATGCCACACAGAGATAGTACCAGATACCTTTCCTGTAATTGGAATTTACCAACAACAGCTTTATTGCGATGCTGTTTCATTGCCTCTTGTAGAGAAGGCTACTCATGTTTTTAAGTTTACTGGTGTTAAGCAAACTTGCACACAAAATAAGATATCATATTAAAACCAGGTGCTCAGCTCCAGTTTCTGTAGCACGGAGTAGCTAAGAATACTGCTTCTACCCCTTACCCCCCCTGCCCCCCTCCCCACTGGGCCACCCTGAATGAGATGCTAGTCCATCGTATTGATTGTTACTCCCAGTATTTCTGTCAGGTTGCAGCCATAACAGTTCATTATATTTGGTACTCATTTAAATTCCTGGAAGGAGAGGTTGAGGCATTGTGAGTGTTAAGTGTCTGTAATGCCTATAAGAACGCAACGCAATGACCTCAGCCTGGGTTCAAACCCGGACTGCTCTATCCAGAGTCCAGTGTCCTGGCAATCAGACTGGTCACCATGGCCATCTATATACTAGCTTACAAATTGATATTTATGAGAATAGGTAACAAGCTAACACTAACCTTTAGATTAACAAGCACAGAATTAACTTCCTGTCTCAGTCTGTCTGTTTATCTGTCCATGTGTGTCATGAGAAGTTGACATCATAATTGAGCCTCTTAGCTTAGCTGAGGTACAAAAAAATAAACAAATGTTATGGTGACGTACAGTTATTAGTGGCAAATAGTTTATATCATTTACAATATACAGTGATGATTTTCCATAGTACTACTGACAACGCTCATAACATTAATTTCTCTTGTTCTATTGCTAGAGCTGAGGAAGTTGCTTCAAAGTGATTTGCTGAGAGCAGGCAAATTTAACATATTTAATGAATAGTTTACACTGCAGTGCAACATACTGAATGCACATGAATTTGTTATTTTCTCATTCACATAATGAAAAATCAAGGAAAACCCTCAGTGTCCTCACAGGTGTTACTCATAGGGCAAGTCCTTATTCCACTCACATTCATACATTTACCAGTAAATATTGAAGAGAATTAGGTAATAGTTAAGATTCCTTTCTTCTTTTTCTTACCTCCACTAGCTGTGCACTGTAGAAGCTTATCAGACTTATTATTTCTCAAAACAGTAAGATTCAGCTGTTTGCCAAAATTCTAGTCCAAAATAATTAAATTTGCTCTTAAAGGTCCTTGAAACAGATGCGATGTAACCACAGGTCTAAAGTGTGGGTGAGGGATTAGGAGCACGGTGAGCCTGAAGAACCCTCCAGTTAGTGTAATAATGCTGACAGGTAAGCCTGTCTATGTATGATTAGCTGTCAATGATGGTGATGACAACACCCCTTGCATCTCACCCCCACCCCGCTTTAAGACCTGTTGCCATTTACAGTCAGCTCTCAGTGATGGAAATGGCAACACTCCTAACCCCACACCCCCTTTTTGACCTGCACGATCAAGGCCAACAGTAAATATCTCTTCTGAGTTTACAAAGGGGAAAATGATTATATAAGTAATAGCCTCCATTTGGTGCGACAATATGCTAGGATATTTGTTTGCGGACATTATCTATTCCGAAAAGTGGACAGTTTTCCGAGAACGTAGCTTAAGGAAAACTGTGAGCTTCGAGGAACAGATAATGTCCAAGGACAAATACCCTAGCATATTTTCCTGCCAAATGGAGGCTATTGTGTTTATTATCCTTCAAATCTTTATTGCAACATGCGCAAATTGGGGAAATATTTGGTCACGTGATGTGTTTAGACCAATCGTGCGCAAGCAAAAATATTTCATGGATTATAAGGAGATTTAGCTGTCAACAAGTTAACCACAGAAAGCAACTTAAATGCATAAAATTAATAATTATTAATTTCCGCATAACTGATACGTTTTTATAAGCTTGTTCAACTTTCCTGGGTTTATTAAGATTAACGGCTCAAAGCATTAGAAAGACGAAACAATCCATATATAAAAGCGAATTCACCAAATAAAACTAATAAAGCATAACAGGTAAGTTAATTACCTCTTCACAGAACGCTTCCAACGCACACACAACTCTTCGACGACAGTTGCGTCCACTCCGCCCAGTTCCACTTGAGGTAAAACTTTGGTTAATGTTTACAATACTTGAACGTGGATATTCTGGGTAGCACAGTCAAAAGTTTGAGGCTAACATCGTTGATTTAACCGATTATTTCCAGCAAAAACTAAGGAACGAAGTTGAAATTTAGCTCCGTTCTCTTTCCACGTGCAAAAAGTGCCACAGATTCATGAATAATAATTATAATTTATGCTCATTTATTCAAATTAACCAGAGTCCTTCAGTGTCTCTCACTCCAACTATACTACTGAATGTACAAATCGTTTATAATCTTTTGGGAGTTCCTCGATACTCATATTTTAGCCAAAACACCAAGATATTTGGGATGAAATTCAAGTAGTTCGGAAGATTTTCTTTAGGTCGAAAATTGAAAATGCTCCCTCTTTGATCGCTTACTGCAGTCGAAAAATCCGGACATCTCAACAGTTTCTTCTACTTCCAGTCTTCGTTTTAAACCGCGCGATTTTCACAACGAATATGGATTGGAAGTACTGATTGTAAGTCACCAGATTGGCTGAATTTGACACCCTGAATCGTCTACTTTTTCGTGACCCTCCGCCGACAGGGCGTGGCCGGGTACCAAGTTTTATTACCCAGTTGATGGCTATAGTGCACAGGTGCAGTGAAGGCGTGGCAGTGAGGGTGTGGCTGGATACCGATTGTATTCAGAACCGTCACAGGTCACTTGTGTAAATCTACAGTGGTCATGGTAAAATATTGAGCAGCCACTTATAAAATTCAAGCCAGGACTGAGGAAAAAGTCGGCTTTGGTTGAGGTTGTACAAAAAAGGGAGTGAAGTTGACATTATCATGGCTCCAGAGGAAGAGATGGCAGACTCTTGGAGACTTTCTCACATACAACGGTCAATATTAAAGACGGTTTGTTGAAATTTTAAGTCTCATTTCTGACGAACAAAATATTGTTCAAGAGGACGATGATTTTATTAATTAGTGTAGTAGGCCTCAAGGTGGAGAAAAAAAAAAGCACGAAAGAAGAAATCCCGATGATAAGCCGAAAAGACGAGGATAAAATACCACAGACCAAGACACCCCCACACGAAAAGAAGAGTGAGTGATCAAGCCTAAAATCTACGACTTCTGACAGCTGAAACCAAACGGAGTCACACTGCCTGTGAACAGGCTCCGCCTGAAAGTGTTTGACCGCGGCTGTAAGGGTCGGGAAGGAGCTAGTTGACAGTGATGTGGTCGTTTGACAGTAATCCTTTTTCTTTCCTCTTCGCCCCATCCTCGACTAGAGATCCTGCTCACAGGCTACAGGCTAGAGGTCACAGTAAAAATCAAATGGCCTGTCTATTCTGTAAAAGGATCAGGTTCACTAACACCATGGAGACCAAAGGAAATTCTTCGCGTCCCCTCAAATACTCTTGAAAAGTTTCCCATTTAAAACCGATACTTAAGGTAAGCAAAAGGGACTCATATACAAGAGGAAAAATTATTTATTCAATTTGATTACAGCGATCAACTTTCTTATATTATATCCATTCATTTCTACTAGACTTCTGACAGGTTATAAATACTGTTTAATTTTTGTTAATATAAACACCTATTTTTTAAGGGTTAGATATGGATCTGTAAGCATCAATGACGTCAAAATGACGTCACTAACGCATGTCGATCTATACTGTTGCGCTTGACACAGATCATCTTTCCAAAGACTTCCACGGAGCTATATAATTGGTTCAAAAATTTAACCAATCACTGCAAACATAGCATTTTGTTCAACCAATCAGATGCAAACCACTCAATCGTGACTGTTGACACGCGTTTTCCCGCGCTTGGCACAAGTCACCTGTCTTCCCTTCTAGTTCTGATTGGCTCTTAGAGCTACGTACGTTTGTCGTATTTGGTCAAACTGATTTCTTTGGTTTCAGTTTAATGACAGTCCTCAGAAACCTGCTTTCTGTAAACATTCACGCCATAAGAAGTGCAGGCCATCAGCTTCTGACGACAGACAAGTGATTGCGTTTCTCTTAGTACGCGATTTTAATTTCTATTTCAGCCGGACCGTTTATTAAGAGCTAAAGAATCACTCGAAGTTTAGTTCACAAAAATAATTGCTTACGTCTATCTGGTTCAATCTTCTCTACCAACTTGGTATTAACTTCACTAAGAAATAAAATAACTTATCATATCTACCGTGCTTTATAAATAATCTTATTCGATATTAGATTACCTCAGTATATTGAATATTCAGTGTACAAACCTGGAGGGATTTTAAGATTTTGTCCCACAACCACCGATAGTATACATACGACATAAACAGAGTGGAAATTAGTGTCCTTGATGTATAATAGTTTATAATATATCTTTACTTAGTTACTACACTAGAAATAAAATAGTTTAGCATAGTTACATATTGTAATAGATTGTGTTACTTTCATCAATAAACGAAAATCTAAGTAACTTTTATTTGGTATATCGTAAAATGAACATAACGTTTTCATTTCATTTTGTTCACTGTGTGTTTCAAAATGCCTTTATAAACTTTTGAAGACATCGAAGTAAGACAGTCTGAATTGTGAATATGCTACGGTATATTTTCCTGGCGATTTTAAGTGTACAAAACTGGTATTAAACATGCTTGGAAACTTCAATGTCCGAGTCAGAAGAATAAACATCAAGAATGTGGTCGCGCAAGCATTTCTGGGATCGTTGGTGCAGGAGCAGCAAAATTCAAAATGGCGGGAAAGAGAAACATGACAAAAACAGTCGAATATGTCTGTTCACCATCATTAGAGAGCTTAAGAAAACCACGACGGCAACGGCAACGGCAACGTCGCTAAACAAACGATTTAATGAGGAGAACAATGGCTGTGCACGTGCGTTATAATTCTTGGTACATTTCTTTGCCGTCCTCTGCAAAACAACAACGTGAAATGACGAAATTTTGCGTTGTCTGGAGAACGTGAACCACGACGGCTAATTTTTTGAATTTATATTTCGAATTTATTGGTGTGTCCTAGATTCAGTTTCGTGATGGCTTCGACAGTGATAAACAAAGTAAATGACTTCAGGGTACCGCTAGATTCGTAGGTAAAATATAAAATCATTTTTTAATCGACGTTGTCCTCGGTGTCACCGTCGTGGTTTCTTAAGCTCCCTAATATTATGAATCAAGACCTCATCGCCCAACACGTTTGTCGAAAGCTTTTAGTACTAACGGGGGCGAAATTTTACATCAAACTTCAGCACCAAACTCTTCAACCTACCAACCACGCAGTCTTCCTGTCCTTGAACGATCCCAGATATCCTTGCGAACTTAACTGGCCCCCACACACTCCCTCCAGTTCAGGGAGTGACAATGGCATTACAAAAATTTAATTCATTTAAGTTCGTTAAACAACCCTTATAAATTGTTTACAAAATATTTATCCGACGGGAGCACGAATGATATCCAAATTCTTGACAAATATTAAAAAACCTTCCTGGGCGATTTTAAACTTAAGTAATGTGTTTCAAGATATCACTTATCATCAGTGATGAACAAGAAAATTGCATTTCATATATCCATTCAGACACAACTAAACGCTAAAAATAGTTTTCGTATTTTGTAATAAGAACGTAAAACTAAAGAACGTAAAATTTCAACATCACTTACAAACAGCCTGTCCTTTAAGGACTGAAAACTGAAAAAAAAGCAACTGGAAACTTTTTTCCTCTTTCAATTGAACATTTCCTAGGCGTCTTTATATTGCTTTTCAACTATGAAGGCAAATCTACGTAATTAAAACGTTTCACGACATTTTCAAAACTTACAACTCCGTGGAGTTATGAAAACTTTTCCAATATGGCGCCCACGAGGAACAAGCCATCTCGTTTACAATAACATATATGACTCTTCGGCTAACCCGACGCACGTTGGAGAAGTATGTGTTTGTAACTGTTTGTTGTTCGCGCTGGTGAACCTTCACTCGAACAATACGTACCATGTTGCCTGATTCACCAAGTCGAGACCAACTACCATGATGCATCTTGGGATATTATATGAGCCTATCTTGCTGACCTTGAACTGGAGCAGCATCCGTGCCTTTTCTCGGATCCAGTCTATGCATGAGTTCTGGATCCGCGGGGAGCTGGAGAGAACTAAACTTAAGGAACCAGAGGAAGATACCGACTTGGCTCATGACGTCGAGAGTTCCTTTAGCGAGGTCGGTCGGGTCTGTGGAGCCTGACGATGGACGAAGAATGTTCGGACCAAAGACAGTCGCCAGGTTATTTTGCCCCATTTTATTCTGTTCTTGATGTTCGCTTAGTCTGAATAGGAGAGGAAATCTGTTGATTATGTAATTGAACCAAATAACAGCCCAAACCCAAATACAGTATAAGAAAGTAATTCCCTCACTCGAGAAACCCAATAAGCATTTTTGAGTTTAAAAAACATCAGGTTTGGTGGAAAACCCTTTCACATTTATTGAACTGAATTTGACTGACTTGCATGAAAATGAAAAGCTGGTAAAACTAATTTTAACAGCGAACATTTCGCTGGAAAAGGGTTACCACGCTCCACACTTATATGTACACGGCACACTGACAAGGTATCTTTCCGAAAGAACCGTTTAACTCAATAAAAAATTGTTATTTCCCTTGAGACTTCTTTAATCACACGGTGGTGAGGAGTTAGCCAGTCTCACCCCTCCCTGGCCTACGCTTTCCTAGCGCTATAGATCACGCAACATACCTTCTAAGATGATCGAGTAGATAGATGCTGGTGTGGCGGTTTGGTTTGGGCAACGATTCAAACAGCTCCATCATTGCTTTCTTCTTTTCTTCGGGATCTTTGATACCTTAAAATATAGAGCCAGCAGTTTACAATTAAAATGAGAAACCAAGAGCGCGAGAATCAAAAATATAACAAAAGACAGCTACAAAAGTAACAGCAGCAACAACAACAATAACAACAACAACAACAATGACGACAACGACGAAGACGATGACGATGAGGTGGACCACACCAGAACACGCTAAAGCAACAAGAAAGTCACCAGTGGTAACACTTCGATTGTCTTTGTACTAAACCCTGGAAAGAATCCTTGTAAAAAACACTCATGCATGCCTGTAACTTCCATGTTGTTTCAAGATTCATTTCGAACTTTGGTACACTACCACCCTGTTCCAACCTACGCTACCTTCATTGTCCCCAGACGTTTTTTTTTTTTTTTCGCAGAAGGCACGCGAGTTGACTCGTTCATATCCCAAGCGCCAGGTTAATATTTCGCCAAGCTTGCGATCTTGACGAACTCAAGACAAAACAGAGAGTCTGTGAACAGACTATTTTAACTGTTGAAACAATAATAATAGCAAAGGCGAAACGAAAATACATTAGCCTACCATTTGCCTCCACGAAATTAGGATAAAGGTCGTCTGTAAACAGCGGCTCTGGAAGGTCCCTGAGGTAAAGCTTAAGGAGTCCTGCCACGGCATGGATGTCCGCTTCGGCCACTTGCACCAGAGCACTTTGACTGTCTGAGGGACGGACACAAAAAGGGACCTCAATGAGTTATGTACCAGGGCGTGAGGTCACAATAGGACAAGGGCAAGAAATAGGGGACTAATTGGGTAACGCATTTTAAGACCTACGTTTAAACGGAAAAGATACTGACAGAAAAAAAATCGCCAACAGAATCTGACTTATACCTTTGTTTCCTTTTCATGACAGTCAACGATCGCTAGCGCGTTTTCATTATCAAAATTTCAAGTAAAATTTCCTCTAATGTAACTTCTGATGTAAAAATAGAAGCTAATTCATTGGTAAAATTCAACTCAAACAGTCTGCAAGACTACTTGCTCGCGTTTTCTAATTTCTTAATCGATTTAGCGTTATGTACAATATTCCATCATGTACTTAGTCTGCTTACTGTTGTCAAAAGCTTCTTTCAGCCTACGGACTTCTGACGTCGCTCCAGATAAACGATAAATTCCTACTTCGTCCATACCTAAAAAAAGTAAAACATATTTCTTCTAAAAACTTCAAAAACCCATCCAAGAAGACGCCACTTTCTACGCATTTTGTTGCTGAGCAACATAACGCAACTTTCCGAGTGTTCGTCAGTGCTCGGACAACAATCTGATTGGCTGACATGGGATTCTTCATACCTCCGAATCCTCTTGTTGTTGAAATCAGATAACCCACTTAATGCGGTTGAAAAGCATGTCAAGAAACTTTCCAAGAATCCCTCTAACATGAAAAACTGACAATGGCATATTATACCGACCTCTTCTTTCGATTTCTTGCACGCATCCGATGACAACCAAAGGAATGTCGCTTTCTTCTCGTCTACAAAAAAGATCTAAGTCAGTTGTGATGCTAGCAAAATTTGCTTAAACAAACTTCGAATGCTAGTAAAATAAATTAAATTGCTATGTACAATCTGGGACAGATATATTACCTTGAAACTGTCGCGATATCAACTCCAAACACTCCCTTCTCACTTAGCGATTTTTTCCTCTGAATTCCATGAGGGGTCTTAGAGTACTGTAGTGATAGCGTGACGGCACCCTGCGTGACAACCACAATACGTTACAACAGCGGTAATTCTTGGCTAGCGTTTTTTCTATTATTCTTAAAAGACGCCCAACCCTCTGCTCTGTCCGTTTCAAATGTAAATTGAAACGAACAGTGGGAAAAAGGTCACACTTAAACTCGTCACAACGGGGGTTACAAAGTGACTGACCAGAAGTNATAGGGGACTAATTGGGTAACGCATTTTAAGACCTACGTTTAAACGGAAAAGATACTGACAGAAAAAAAAAATCGCCAACAGAATCTGACTTTTATACCTTTGTTTCCTTTCCATGACAGTCAACTATCGCTAGCGCGTTTTCATTATCAAAATTTCCAGTAAAATTTCCTGTAATGTAACTTCTGATGTAAAAATAGAAGCTAATTCATTGGTAAAATTCAACTCAACCAGTCTGCAAGACTACTTGCTCGCGTTTTCTAATTTCTTAATCGATTTAGCGTTATGTACAATATTCCATCATGTACTTAATCTACTCACTGTTGTCAAAAGCTTCTTTCAGCCTACGGACTTCTGACGTTGCTCCAGATAAACGATAAATTCCTACTTCGTCCATGCCTAAAAGAAGTAAAACATATTTCTTCTAAAAACTTCAAAAACCCATCCAAGAAGACGCCACTTTCTAAGCATTTTGTTGCTGAGCAACATAACGCAACTTTCCGAGTGTTCGTCAGTGCTCGGGCAACAATCTGATTGGCTGACAAGGGATTTTTCATACCTCCGAATCCTCTTGTTGTTTAAATCAGATAACCCACTTAATGCGGTTGAAAAGCATGTCAAGAAACTTTCCAAGAATCCCTCTAACATGAAAAACTGACAATGGCATATTATACCGACCTCTTCTTTCGATTTCTTGCACGCATCCGATGACAACCAAAGGAATGTCGCTTTCTTCTCGTCTACAAAAAAGATCTAAGTCAGTTGTGATGCTAGCAAAATTTGCTTAAACAAACTTCGAATGCTAGTAAAATAAATTAAATTGCTATGTACAATCTGGGACAGATATATTACCTTGAAACTGTCGCGATATCAACTCCAAACACTCCCTTCTCACTTAGCGATTTTTTCCTCTGAATTCCATGAGGGGTCTTAGAGTACTGTAGTGATAGCGTGACGGCACCCTGCGTGACAACCACAATACGTTACAACAGCGGTAATTCTTGGCTAGCGTTTTTTCTATTATTCTTAAAAGACGCCCAACCCTCTGCTCTGTCCGTTTCAAATGTAAATTGAAACGAACAGTGGGAAAAAGGTCACACTTAAACTCGTCACAACGGGGGTTACAAAGTGACTGACCAGAAGTGCCACCAAAAGGCATTTATTCTCCACCAGAAATACATCTTATCTCACTACTATGTTGTCTTCTTCTCGTTTGCAAGACCCAAACAAACGGACCCAACATTTCAACACAATGTTATACAACACTGTTGAGCACGTTTGGCAAACCAGTTGCGCCATCCAACATCTTCCAACATCTTGCAAGAGAGTGGCCAAACGTACTCAACATGTCGTGCGTTTAACCGGGACTTTACTTGTGTCGTGTTCAGGAAAAGTGTTGCCTTAATGAGACTAATTCACGAAACATAACAGTAGCGATTCGTAAATTTCTTACCTGTTTATCCAAGGTGATCGTGATGGTCTGCTTCTTCAGATCCGTCAGGTTTTCCTTTAACAGCTAAAAGAACGTACAAAGATGGTTATCATAGCCATCTAGAATTGAGAAATTGCATACACATTATTACAAGAGCGCGCACAGGCGCATGCTAGTACGCAAGAAACACGCACGCGCACAAGCGCGCGACTCACCTCTATTTTTCCCTGCGCGCAATGTTCGTCAAAGTTAAGCCTGCTTTTGGAGTACACGTGCAGCTTTAGTTCTCTTGTGCCTTCCACCTCGATATCAAAGTCCTGCGGATGAAGGTGAACCAGTGAGAAGTATAACACTGCAGTTGTTAGCTAACCCTTCAATTGACTGCAAACTTAGCAGTGCTGTAATCAGAAAGCCGCCATCTTGAAAATTGCGATCGTCACGCTAGCATTGGAACTGTTCTCAGTTACACTGAAATACGTTGACCAATATTTTTTGGTACCGTTTGTTGTGTGTCAAGTTTAGAACCTTGTCAAAACCTGGACTATGGTACTTAGAGAGGAAAGAGGTAACAGAATCACATATCTTCTTCTACTAACCTGGTCCCACACAGGGTCAGTTGTTGCTTTACATGTTCTGGTCTTGGCCTTTCGGACAAACTGACCGAAATGATCAACTTCTATCACGCAACTAAGATCTGAAATAACGCACAATTACTTCAATAAGGTGAAATAGAAGTACGTAGTAACGAAAGCAAATTGAACTTAAGTAAGAAGCGAGAAAAACGATGGCAAGGGGTTAAGGCGAAGTGGAAAACGGAGGCAGGGAAATCACATCATTATCGCCGTGAGGTCATCGTTTTCAAAAAGCTTTCTGTCCTCACGAAAACGAAAAGCCGGCGTTTTCAAATTCCTCTAGTTTAAAGAGCGTGTTTTCGTGGCGGATTAGTGTGGACGGAAGGCCTAACCGTAGAAATAAAGCTGCGTTTTCAAATTCCTCTAGTTTGAAGAGCGTGTTTTCGTGGCGGATTAGTGTGGACGGAAGGCCTAACCGTAGAAATAAAGCTGCGTTTTCAAATTCCTCTAGTTTGAAGAGCGTGTTTTCGTGGCGGATTAGTGTGGACGGAAGGCCTAACCGTAGAAATAAAGCTGCGTTTTCAAATTCCTCTAGTTTGAAGAGCGTGTTTTCGTGGCGGATTAGTGTGGACGGAAGGCCTAACCGTAGAAATAAAGCTGCGTTTTCAAATTCCTCCGGCGTAGTGTGGACAGGGCCTAAAATGGATTGACTGTGGAGAATCTTGAGAACGTAAATCCCAGATCCTACATTAAACTCTTGTTACAACACCAAATTCCTTTATGAAATTCCTTTGTTTTAAGGTACACTAACAGTTGATCAAGTTTCTAGTCCAAAATGTTTGGGAACATTGAATACATTTATTACAGTTTGGAGAAGGTAAATAAAGTAATTATTTAAAGTAACAATTATGTTCCAATCGGAGCCAAGTTTTTGTCAGCTGAGTGAAAGCTCTATCTTAGGGAGAAAGTGTATGTTGTTGAACAGGCATCTGTTCAAACTTTTGCTATGATATCAGCTGTCACCTCACTAGACTAACTACGTATCTTGATTTCATTACTTCTACCCAACAACTGTCGAAAGTAATCCTATGTTTGTTTTGAATCTGCGTCTGCTATTAAAGCTCTCTGATTGGGTAATAAAACTCGTGTGACGCGATCTACCAATGAGAGTAAAGAAGCTGCCCTCTTAGCCAATCAGGTGCGTTACCCAATAGAGTCATGATTTGGTTGACGTGACTTTACCACGCTGGCATGCAGCCACTTACGTGCTTATGGTTTTTGTTCTAGTTAAGTTTTTAAGCTACATATGGGCGTAGCGTTCGGCCGGGTTATAAATACAGCTTAAACTTTCCGGAAGTCGTTAAAACCCAGCATTTTCACTTAAATTAAGGAAGAAGCCCTAAATTCTAGATTAAAAAACCATATTTCTTATTTACTTTAAAAGGATTACCGTTTTTGTGAAATCCTCGACCAGAATGTATCTGCACGTACAGTAGACCATTCAAAAGACCCTTGTCTGAAAAAACAATGAGAAAAACGTCATGCGATTTGTGTAACTGATACTCAAAAGTAGCATTTACCCTCAGCTATCCTTAAAACGAGTTTACCCGGCCATTGTAATACAATCTTTCACTGTCACTATGGCCTGAGAATTTTGGTGTTACATCAAGACAGTTTATTCCCTGGTTGATCATTTTCTTCAGTCTCATCACTTGTCTCTTTGATAAGGTATTGGAAGTGCAAGGAGAATTGAGATAATGCGTTAATCCTAGGACTTAACGGGTTAACATTTTTATTACTATTAATAGTAAAATGGAGGCTGTACCTTCTTTCATGGAAACTTTACCCAATGATCTGCAAGTTCTCAGCTGAAAAAAGGAAAAGATAAAAAATGATAAGTACTTATCACAAAAAATACCCAGTGAGCAACAAACGTGCAACGATAAAAACGTAGCTACGGGGGATAGAAATAAAAGATTTCTCTTTCGGCCTGACATATATCATGTTAGATGTTTTGCATTCCGTCTGAAACGAGTCTAACAATGAAAAATGTCCCAGTCGTTCCCTGGTTCCTGCTGGTTTAAACGATCTTTTCAAGGTTTTATTCCATTTTACGACCATGTTCTTATCAAGATCACGTACAACAGTGCGAAAAACCCCTAAATCGACGAAAACTGTGCTGGCGATTAAAAGTGCATCTGTCAGGCCGCAGGAAATTTTTGAACAAGGTGTTAATTTCATTAATAGAAATTGCCTAGTTAACCCTGCACAAGGACAAAACTAAGTCGCCACACGACTGTTCAAGAATGCGTAAATATGGCAAAAACGTATTTATCGCATATTCAGTTGATTGCATTAGAGTTATACGTCAGCCGGATTCTAAACCACAAGTAAACGAAACGAAAAGATAAACATCCCAGGGAAGGCGTGTTTCTACACAGCAGGAGATTCAACGAGGAAATCTTGTACAGTGAAACTTTTTTGGCACGATAACAACATCTGAAAATCGAGTTACGAAGACAGAAGATGTCTATGGCGTATTGTTTGCTTACATACGGAATACATGTCAAAAACGCGCGGCATTGAGAGAAATATAAACTGACATCGTGACATGATGAAGACAGTAAAGAGAAGCCGGTTATTCGGGTCCTAAAATACAGATTTTCTCCGTGTTATTTGCGTACGAAAAAGCCGCAATTGTTCGTGGTTCATTAAAAATTCACACCGAAACTGCCTTAAGCTCGATCATTAGCGAAAAAATATACGCAGTTTAAGAAATTAAGCTTCGTAGTCGAGGAGAGCAATTTCAACAGCAACTTGCGATTGCAACATCTCTTATACAAACAAAACTAAGAGTATAAACTTCCCTGAGTGAAATTCGGAGTGAATAAAAAGAGAGTAGAGTCTTCTACAGTGTTAATAAGCTCAGAAAACAATTGTAGGTGCACAGAACGACATTGCTTACCACTGTTTGGGAATCTTTTAAAAAAGTAGAGTCCGAAGCTCTTCGTAGCAGGCGAATATTCGGTGACCACGATCCACGGCGAAGAAGAGGCGATTTCTTCTCACTGCATTCTACCGGAGTAGCCGAACCTCGCCGAGCAAGCCTCACGTTAGGAGATAGCGTAAACTTAACTTTCGCCGCCATGAGAGCGACGCAGAAAGAAGTACTAAACGAGGAGTGCTGCAAATTTAAAGAGTCAGCCCCGAGCTACTAAAACCGAATTGTGGCGCTAATAGATAACTGTGTCAACAGATGGGCTGAAACGTAATTAATCTGTCAGTTTAATCGCTTCTGTATGCCGCTCACACACGTTACTTGCTGTAAACAAAACCTCCTGACCAATCAACGATGTTGTTTATAAAAACACTATAATAGAGATATCTCAGTTTTCTGCCAAGAGTGCAAAAGTGTGGGCTATCAAGTGTAGAGTTAGCAATATTAAGGCAGTAAGGGAGACAAACCTTCTTACAAGCCTCCAAAAAGTGGTGAAGTTCTATCATGCTAAGCTGGCCGTCAGTTGAAGGATTATCTAGGACGAAGGCCATGACATTTAATTAGAAAAACGTGAGAACTAATAGAAAAGTGTACTTGCTATATTTTAAACGATGTCTAAATTGTACAGTTGCTCTTAAAAATGCACAACTCTTTTACTGCCGAAGGTGCCAACGATCTGTCACAAAAATAATGGAAAAGTCGTTATCCGTCTGCGACACTTTTCTTTCAAAAATATAAATCAATTTAAAATTGCTTTGAACTGAGTAAATATTGACTCGGAAGTCAAAGTGTACGCCATGTTCGAGTCTCCTTTTATTAACAGCACCACAAAATACAATGATAATTGTATTAACGCTTCTATTTTTACCTTGCGTTTGCTCTAAAAGCGGAATTATCGCTTCTTTCCACTCAGCTCTCTCAACATCACTTTTACAAAGCAATGTGTAGGTCTGTAGAATCAACAAAATAGATTATACAGTATATTTTGTCTGAAAGAGTTTTTTAGAATTCCAAGGGAAATATTTCTTCTCGTATTTTGTCTTTGTAGCCACTTAACAGACCCAACAGATTACATTAATCTACTTAAACACGCAGAGAACATGCAAAACTCGAATATTTGCATAAAACCTAAAAATTCTCACACCAGGGGGGTTTGTAAGTGATAATTTATTTACGATGCAAAATTGATAAAATAAACTTTCACAATTTACATAGCAACAACGATGGGAGAAAGGGATTTGTTTAAATAAACCAAGTTCACTGCCGAACTGGTACACACTGTAGGTCCTTTCTGAATTAATTTTAGTATAAAGTAAAAAAGGTAGAGACAAGCTCAATCATTCAATCTTCGCCGAATCAGATTCTTGGGTTGCCACGTGGCGCTTTTCAAGTTCCAGAAGGGTTGCGTGACAAGCTATCAGATAAGAGATCTTTTGTGCGTGATTGCGTGACATACCTTTCCCTGCTTGTGATACAGTGTTAATGGTAGACTGGGAACGGCCAAGAGCAGGGCAGCTTCCTAAACAGTCCAAGAAAACAGAAATATTTTACAATACGAAGAAGTTAATTAATAAGTTAGAACTAAAGGTACTCGCTGCAGTTTCGTATTGAATCATGAACTTTGTCATAAGAAGGGCAGAAATTAGAAGAAGATTCATTTTGCATTTGGTGCTTTGTTGGTGGGACTTCCAAATACTTAGAAAAAGTTCAACAAAAGCTAAACACGTTGTCTGTGTTATTCTCGATGCGCCAAAGTATATCCTTCCACTAAGAAAAGAGAATCCTGTTTCCTCTATTACCTGCTCAGCTAGACGCTTCTTCATTTTTTCCACAATCTTTGAAGTGGACTGTGCCCGACGTCGCTGTGAAGAACATAACAAAAAGACTAAAATCAAAATAAACAAAGAACGCAAAAATAATCACTGACTGGGAACTTGTGGTTCACGATTAACTGAGGCACCATCATTTAAAGTAAGCATGATTTTCGCAAATGTAAAATTAAACTACGATTTCAAAATACTCAACAATGTTTTTAATTTGTGCCATTACTTGACAAATGCAAGAGCCCATCAAGAAGAGGGGGGAGAATTCTCCCATCGGAGGGGATATTACACCTAACACCTGGGGTTGTTACCAGTTCCCCGAAAGAAGGTTTCATATGCCATTGTTGACAAATGCTGGAACCCATCAGGAAAAGGCGAAGAATGAGCTCATCGGCAGGGATATTAGACCTAAGCCCTAATATTNCCCCCCTCCCTCCCAGCAAACACAACAAACAGTCCAGCTGTAATTCTTTAGCTTCCCATCCAACGCAAAGCGCAAATTAACCATCGGACCATAATGCTTCCACAATAATGTTTGAGCCACCGACCGGAGAAGACCCCGAAGACGAAGTTCAATCCTGAGGTGAGTTACACTAGTTTTCTATACCTTGCTTGAAGGCGAGGAATCTGGGCTGTGAAAACCACTGACCCCTTCTTCTCGTCGGATTTCCGCTTTGGTGTTTGCAATCCTGCTCTTCAACAAATCAAAATCAGCTTTGCTCGTTACTGGAATGACTTGCGGCGCTGCAAAAACAACAGCAAAACGTAGCGATGATAGAGAGAGAGGATAAGAGTCATGACAATCTGACTGGATGCACGAATCTTCAATTGTGAATAGAACGCTACAGAAATGTTGAGAATAAGAAGGGGTTGAAGCGGGTATAAACACCTCTGGATGGTGCCAACAGTCTACTTAGTGTTTCAATCTGCTCTGGGCGGAATCAAGTGAATTCTGAAATCTGATTGGGTGGATGTTAACTTCTTAAAGGAGCTCAGTAATGGTAATTTCACTTATTTTGGCGGCGTACAAACTTCGCGTACAAAATTTTCTTTAAGTTGCAAAAAAAAAAAAAAAAAAAAAAAAACCCTGAAAACAGCGGTTTACTAAGATAGGAAAACACTAAAGAGATAATAATAAACCACAGAGAAACAAGGATGATTTAAGGATGGAGAGGATTGACACGGATTGCAAACGACGAACTTGAAAAATTTAGGCTAAAAAAGATATTAATGTGCTGCTTAGGAGAGAAAGCCTAATGCTTGAATGTCGAGATGATAACCTTCTACGGGATAATATTTCTCGGTAAGCGTTGTTGTTAAAGGTTAACAAGTACAAGTTAGATACAAACCTTCTGAGATCTCCGTGGGATGAAACTGTAAATCTTGCAAAGGCACATACCACTTGCACACATACTGTTCGCTCCTGTGGACAAACACACGTGTCAGCTAACTGCGTATACATTAAGTCGCCTTATACTCGGCTGATCTCTTGACATTTGGAAAATTGGTTCGCTTTGTCGTATGCCCGCATGATTTTATGAGGAGGAATGCGCCTAGGTAGCCTTTAAAAGCAACAGACGTCTGGGAGCAGGTTGCGGGAACTCATTGTGTAGGTTCAAAAGAAGGAAAAAATAAAGAGTACTGTAGGGGAAAATATCGACCGATTGCAAATGCGTGGAAAGGCAGCAGTGACACAGCAAAGCACAAAGGAGGAGTATCTTGCTATTTGCTAAAGAAGTAAGCGAAATAGCGCAACAGTCACGGAAGAGTTTTGGGATCAAACCTTTTCCTCGCCAGTTCAAACAACAAACGATCCAAAACAACAACCTTCAGGTGAACGCTAGAAACCCCAAATGTACAGCAGAGATACAGAGACAAAAAAACGATCATGCAAAGAAGCGAGACATACCTGGCAGTTATTTTTCTCTTTGTGCAAATGATGTAGTCATTGAATAGGAAGAGATGTCTAAATTTGCGAACTCCATCTGAAACAAAAAGCAAAGTTACAGTTGCGAACACTGACTAAAAACGAAAGTTACGATAAAACGCGTGAATGCAGTTCTCAATAAGCTAACGAAACTCAATATAAAAACACAGCCAAAAGTACCTGAAAGCTCGACAATAAATCCATCTTTTATGAGTCTGTGATCTCTCTTCACTCTGCCAGGCATACTCTGGAAAAGTCCACATTTAATAATTTAATAACACTCGAAACTGCCGAGAGTTTCCTTGCATGCCTAAAAGCGCTCATATGATAACTATCGAAAGTATATTGTGTTACGTTGGTACACAAAACAAAACAAAGACCATGGTCACTGTTAAGAGTGACAAAGACATAATTTTCTGTTTTAAAAATATAGAAAACAAACGCAATCATGTTGGAACAAAACTTTAGGCCTCCATTTGGCCAATCATAGGTATCACCGTATGCCAAACTCGGAAAAACGAGCGTCCGTAGAAATACTTATTAAACAATTAATTACTGGTCCCGAGGGGAACAGTGGATTTTGTTTCCCGAGAATCTCGATGTTTCCCGAGACGAAGTCGAGGGAAACATTGAGTTTCGAGGAAAACAAAATTCTTACAAAATTTTTGCTATATAGCAAAACAAATGGGTCAAACCGGTGGAAAACAAATAACCACTTTATTGACAACTGACGAGCATCAGCGGTCAACATTTCGCGGGTAACAGTGAACTGTTTCCCGTTTGACGTCATAGTTTTTGCAATGTTGCCTGCTCATGACATTTGGCGGGAAACAGTTTTATTGTTAGATGTCATGTAACCATGAACTAGCCAATGAATGGGCGCGCTGTAGCGGGAAAAACGCCAGATATATAACAAAGTTGATTGAAGTTACGCAACAGTCGAAAAATAAGGATTTGTATGGGAAAAAACTGTTCTGTTCCTAAAAAAAAATATGAACGAGTACATGTATGAACAAGAATGAACCTACTTCACCTCAGGTGCGTGTTTCCTTGTTTCTCGTAAGGTTTCTAGGTCAACCTCACTACAAACAAGGAAACACACACTTGAAGCGAGGTAGGTTTATATTTATTCATACTTGGTAATATTTTCTTTATGCTTAAGAACAGAACAGTTTTTCCCATACAAATCCTCATATTAACTTCGACTGTTGCGTTGTTGACTCCGTCTACTGCATGTATATGGACGCTCATTTTCTGAGCTTGGGCTACCCGAGGGCCAAGTTTTTTCAAAAGTCAATGTAAACAATAAAAAAACATGTTTGAGACAATAACAGTACGT